GATTGCTCCTGGAACCCTAAATGATCTCACACGCCTTGTCCTGGTGAATGCCATCTATTTCAAGGGGAACTGGGAATCTAAATTTCGTGCCCACAATACTACACAGGAAACATTCAAGGTTTTCGATGAGAGAAAGAAGGTTCGGGTGAGTCTTATGAGTCAAGAGGGCTCATTCGCTTTGGCTGTTGACAACATGAATGACTGTCTTGTGCTAGAGCTGCCTTATCAAGGCCACAATCTTGGTCTATTGATTGCTCTTCCCGTCAAAGATGATGGCCTTGGTCAACTTGAGACGAAGCTCTCTGCGGACGTCCTGCAATCCTGGGACGCAGGGCTCAAATCAAGAGAAGTGAAGGTACTATTACCAAAGTTCAAACTAGAAGCAACATTCCAACTGAAGGAGGTTTTGAAACGAATGGGAATGCCTGACGCTTTTGATGAGGATAGGGCTAACTTCGAAGGCATCTTAGGTGATAGAGAGTTACACATCTCTGCCGTCATCCACAAGGCCTTTGTTGATGTCAATGAGGAAGGGAGTGAGGCAGCTGCTGCAACGGCTGTTGTGATGGCATTTGGTTGTTCTCTACCAAGAGAACGTGAGAAGCCGATCCTGTTTCGAGCAGACCACCCATTTCTCTTCATGATTCGTCACCGGTCGACGAAATCGGTCCTTTTCATGGGACGAATGATGGATCCCTCCTAGATTTTGACCGCCATGTCCACGCTTTGAAAATAATCAAATTTGTCTGTTTTGGCAGTTTAATCGAATAAACAAAATCAAAGACTTTTCGTTCATTACGACGTCACTTTTCTGAGCCACGCAAATAGCCTAGTGTTGAATAATTACTTCATATATTCTATATTGTGCATACAATCAACAGATGTTTTGGGGATGAACTATATAAGCTTGTTACCAGTATCTATTACTTTTGAGAGATAAACTGTTTATTAATCAGGCCATGACGTTATAATATAAATGTTTCTTACATTTTGATACCCATTGTCTCTTTTTCTTCAGACGAGAATCATGTAATCGCTGATGGGTAAAGATCACTGCTATTGTAGCTGATTACCACAGGCTGGTTATACTGGTTTTAATTATTGCTATACAACACACTAAAACATAGAACCCAAAATTTGAAATTATTCAACAGTATTAACAAGGGCAAATGCATAGGATTAATTTAATATTGAAAACAAATATATACAACAATGTATTAAAATGCAACAACTATGGGGTTACATAACAAGCGCATAGCGAATTTTATTCTTGGCATATGTTATCGTGTGTAAAAAGATTACTAATATACGGTACTCACTTTCTTCCACATTAGCCAGCCTATGGAATTTTAAAGTTATATTATTGCCTGAAAATCCCACGTACATATTAAGTAGCTTAGTTGAATTTGATACTTGATTGCTCATTATACAGAATATATTATGTGTGTAAATAAATGAACGGTATAGTGGTAAGCTGTAAAATTGGGAATATATGGGGCAAGTAGAACTGCATATAGATAATACAGTTATTATGCTGCAGTGTTCAATGTAATAAGAGCTGATATTAATTGACAATTTCTCCAAGTGTAATTCATCGATGCCGCAGGCTCATTTTTTGTGTGTTTCACACGGCAGACAATACAGGAGTGACAAATATTGCCACAGTATTTGTATTTTCAATAATATGAGAGGATAGGCCTACATTGCAGTTTTAGTATACCTGGTAATTTTTCATTCTACGTGTATAGTTAATACAACTATATAGCGAAATGCACTAGCATGCACGAGCATATGGCCTGCAAAAAAAATGTTGTACTGCCGTTTAGGTGCCAAAACATGGGTCGGTCGGTCGGAAAACTTTTTGTTAATACTTTTATTTCCTTTTCCCACTTTGGGCAGATATTTTTCAGTTTTGAATGCTTTAAAACATATTTTTTTATTCATTAAACATTTGTTTCTCTAACAACGGTTAACAAAAATGTTTCTTATAAAATGTACACATGTGCTTTGTCGTTCTTTCGGATGTCGGCTTCGTAAACATAAACGTAAACGTACTCCACCCGTTATCTAATGCCCATATAATCTACACTAACCAACATTAAAAAAATATCGCTCTCGATGGGACCTACATAATACAAGCTTTGCTTTTTAGTAGATCCCCCACTTTATTGATTGATTCATATGATTGTATTATCTGTTATCACTATTATCATGTACCTTATGTTTTCTATATTGTATGTTTAGTTATAATAATTGCCATTGTTTATTATGTTCAATTATATTATCTTTGATAAAGTGAAATATATAAACTTGAAACTGAAACATTATGTAGGCGTATACCGCAAAATACATATATATTTTTATCTACAAAACGGACATTTCGTATACATATTGTAGATCAGCACTTAGAAGAAAAACAGAAATAACAAATATTTAAAAATAATTATATATCATGCGAAAAATTACTGATTAATCTCTTGCTATAGCCTATTGAAAATATTTTTTAGTTTTTGATGGTTAGGGGGGGGGGGGGGGGGGGGGGGAGTGAGAAAAATCTTACAAATTCAAATTCAAATTCAAACTTTATTGATTTCAATCCAAACAGATTAGACAGTAATGTTGTGTCATTAAACTTTTGATAGAAAGGAACATATGTGGATGAAAATGTGTTGTTATGGTGCAATTTCAGTAGGAACCTAGCTGACGTGACGATGGTACGCTGAGAGAGGAAAAGAAAATATAACACGTACGACAGATGTGACAAAAAGATGATGCCATAATTAAGAGAAAGGAATGACGAATATTTCATGGAAAGATATGTTGGTGACAGAAAGCAGTAGTGAAGAGGAAACTCGAGACAAGAAGAAGTGGAGGGAGGAAGTGTCATTATGAGGCGAAAGTCAGTATAACTCCTCATTCGAGGGGAAATGCTGACTTGAAATAATGAATACGATGGGAGTACACAAACTACAAAATAAATCCAACAAATGGGGATGTTACTTTTATTATACATGTACATTAAAGGCCCACTGCACTACTGGTAGCTACTTGCGCCCTCTATATAACAAACAATGCCTAATCGGTGACCATTAGTCCCCCATGATCCTCTTTTTCTTATGTTAACTGAGAGCTGAGTTGATGAGATAACCACCTGTCCAGTGACCTTGCAGAGCGGTCTAATCCCTCCTGTAAACTACGGCAGATAAGCTTTAAAGTAAATAATCGAAACGTGAAACATTAAAAGCGAATCGTGCGAGAAAATAAGCCTATGAGGCTATGACATACATATGAACATGTAATATAGAAAATGTATATTTATGAGTATTTTACATTTATATTTACGTTCTATGATAATAAAATATTGAATATGCATAGTAATAAACAAATATTGATCAGACCTCTTGCATGATGCCGTGTCTATGGGAGGATAGATATTAATAATGATATTCACTGTTATATAGCGTTTAATACAATGTCTCTAATCGCTTTACAAATATACTACACTATCGTTCATATAGTTGGAAGATTTTTGTTTTACCCCAATTTATGGAATTATTTTTAAAATAAAAACAAAAATAAAAGATCTAGATAATAGTATACATTCTCAGATTTTATTGAATAATGATTTGCCAATGTGTGTTTTCGCGACTGCTAAAGCATGTGTATGCTCCTATGCTTATCAACTAGGGTACCTACGCCCTTAAGTCATAAATGACAGTAATGAGGATTAATGCCCCACAAAAGGGCACTAATATAGCACATCGACACGGTTTTGATCCTGGGGCCTAACAGTTACGAGGCCATTGCTTTGTCACTGAACCATGACTGTACGCAGCGGGGGCTAGGGTATAGGGGGCAGTTTCCATAAATAAAATGAAAACATGAAAAATGCAATAAATTTTCAATAATTTATTGCATTTTACGCCGGTCCCCAACATAAACCAATCCTCTGTGTGCCCATGCCCGAGCCATAATGCATGGTCGTCCAAAGGATTTTTTATGTTGGGGACCGGGGTAAAATGCAATAAATTATTGAAAATTTATTGCATATTCCGTGTTTTTTTAAAAGAATATCAGTGCTTTGCTGGGATTCGAACCCTCGACCTTCGCATCTCCAGTCAAGCGTCTTAAACCATTCGGGCACGACACTCCCACGATATCAAGATAGATCAACAGCATCAAGGAGAAGACAAATCACATAGTTTTAGAAAGCCCGATAAGGAAACAGTTAATACACAGGAGAAATTATTAATACGGTTGAAATGAGAATAAGGGGGGAGGGGGTAGTATGCTATTTAGGTTATTGGAAAGTCTAGTGCCTTTAAGATACTATGTCCCATTTGCAGGCCAAAAAATATGAAAAGGTTAAATTCCATATGCATTTGAAGGATAACACTAATTTAGAACTTCCCTAAAAGAAAAAAAAAAGGGGGGGGGGGCTTCAAAAAGTCTTTAAGTGGGAAAATAACGTCTATTAGTTGTCGAATCGACTTAAGAACTATATAGCCAGTAAGTAATAGTCTGATTTTCAGACCATTGTACCGAATGGTCGTATGTTTTATGCTGCGCAAAGATACAATCAGTTAAATTTTGGCCGTTACAAGAAGTGGGTTATTGATGTAGACTAACGGTCATGTACCCTTTAAAGCTCATTTTATGGATGTTATTACCAAAAAAGAAAAAATAGCCAGTCAGTCACTCAATAGTGTCTAACAGTGAAGTCTAGCAAGTAAACGGGTTTCCTTGCATAATTTGAATATTAGGACATTGCTAACGTTTAAATTTCACAGATAGGACATGCATGACATATTCATGATTCCTGCAAATATCTACAGAATTTCATGATGGCTGCAAAAGGGACATAGTATCTTATAATACATGTCTGCGTCTTTAACAAATCGTGACCTTCCAGGACATGCAATATTGCTTATGTGCTTCTTTGGTAAGAGATTCGTCATAGAAACATCTACATGATATATATATATATATATATATATATATATATATATATATAAATCTTCTTGATCTATGTTTAAACGTAATAAACTTAAGATAAACTCTATGACCATAATAATATTTATGTCCATAATAGTACTGCTAGAAGGAAGCTGATGAAACACAAAGCTACAAGCCTCATCGGGATTATCCTGGTCCTCTGGAGTTCTTTCTGTGCTCTCGGGCGAACCGTTTTTAATGTTATCCCATGTACCATATCAGCACCACTTTGCAGTATCCTCTGACGGGCATCGGGTCTAGAATGTGAACCCATCAACCTGTACCACGTAGGATAGACTGGACCAAAATAAAAGTGGTACGCCAGTTTAGGGTCCGACAACAACAGGCTCCAGAAACTTGGTAGAGCCCCGATTGCTTGAGCAAGCTCATCGTTGTATTTCGTCGGATGGATCTGGACAAGTAAAAGACGAAACGTTAGTGCAGCCGGATATTATGGGTGGACAATTAAAGCTGATCGGGGAATATGGCTATATTTAAGTAGTTACACATTACTGCTAATACTATCAATAGTACGTGACTGAACAATCGTTTAATTCAACGTTATTGAAAGACGCATTAGAACTACTATTACATTTTTGACGATTAGTGTACCACGCATCTGGAATGCTAGAGCTGTTAGTCTTGCACAATAATTAAAGTCGAAACCAAGGAACAATAAAGAAAGCTAAAGAGGCACAGCGCGCGCAATGGGATGCGACTATTGGCTGCCGCAGACAAACTGAATGCTGCTAGCCGTTTCTTCATTTTTTTTCAGAAAAAAAAATCTTCTAGACCAAACGTCTACGCACTAAAGTGGTGCATGACTCGTTCGGCATAAGTAAATCTATCTGACAAGATAGAATTAATTTCTCATGACCCAACATTATATTGATCTCTTAAAACGGGTCTCCACTACTGAAATCGCCGCCCTTTCTCAGTGAATGGCGCACAGCGCCATCTCTCGGTGAGGTGCCCATCAATGAGATTTTCGGGGAGCTTCCGTTTCCGCAGTAGGCGTGCTCCACGCACTGACCTGGTAGAGCTCACACAACGTCCACGTGACGTGTGCAAAAAATGGTGATAAGTGGCGCGCCGTGCATTGCGGGTGGAGGTCGGTTTTGGCGCGCCAGCGTGCAGCCAGTGCAGCTACCTAGCCTAACATGATTTTATCTGCCTAGCACTAGACTCTAGTCCTACTCTCCAGCTCTCTGATCTCGATCTCTGTCTGTTAGTTTCCATCTCTCTTCACTTATACCGAGCCGAATAACCCAATCCTTAACTAAGGCACAGGGCTCATTCAAGCCTGAAAACTTAATCCATATTTACGACGAAATACAAAGTCCAGAGGAAATATCTAGTACCCCGATCAGGAGCAAATGTCAGATCTGGACTTGGACACCTACCTTGGGCGTGTCTTGATTGTATTGCTGCATCACTCCATCTCTTCTTTTCTTGATATCCGCAAGCATCTCTGAACGACTTGGTAGTTGAAGTTCTTTCTTGAACACCTTCACTGCATACCGACTTTGTAGTTCTGCTGATGGTCCTAAGGTACCACGTGTCACGATGTAACCAATGGCCGCCATTGTTGGGTGCTCCAGTCTTGGTGGTATGACGTGTAAGTACAGTTCCAATTGACTGGTACTACCTGCAGGAGTCATACAATAAAATTACCGTCATGGGAATGTGGCTTAGCATATCATTGAATCTCCAGAAACCAATTAGTAGTATAGACCATGGTTTAATAACTCGTCGTGTGTAGCCATTGTGTTGCTTGATGCTTATTATGGTATGAACATCTTTTTAATTTTCGAATTAAGTTTGAGTAGTGGAATGAAGGATGCCCGTGTGAAACGGGTAGTGCACTTGTCTCATCACATTCAACAGTCATTCTACAATAACCATCCTTTTCATCATTCTCACATGTCATGATTTTGTGCTTGCGAAGATTATCTGCAAACCGTATCAAACTTTTACATTTATTTCAACATGACATTAATTTTCTTCCATTTCTTTTTTCTCTATCAACAGAAAAGTTAGGTGGGACAATTCCTTAGTATGATTTTCCATGTTAAATTACTATTTATAAAAACACAAAGAAACCTTCTATACTCCACATTTTGGAGAGTTGCAGAATATCATGCACACGTACAGACTTTGTAGCAGCAAACCACTTGAGGAATTCAATAGATCAGTGTTTATAAACAATACATATTTCATATGAGGTACCCTTTATTTCTTGGGATGGGTGGGAATAGAAGTGATTGTATTTGAAAAATATCTGGCTTTGACTGCTTGAACAATATTTATGAGAAAGTTCAGGCAACACCACTTCTTTAACAGTGTTTGAAGGGGACTTTGGCTCATAATTTCACGTATTTATAAATGTGTTTCGAAAAGCAACTTGGGGATATCATGAAGTTGCCTCCAAATCTAATTTCGAGGAAAGTATCGATCAGATGTCATTTTTTTGTATTGGTTAGCTTGATGTCCCAACCACTGTGGATAGACATCTCGTGATGCACTTGTGCGTTTTTTGTTGCTGTTTTGTTGTGGTTGGTTTTGTTTGTTTGTTCGTTTGTATTTTCTTTCTTCCTGAAATGCTTCAAACTCACCTGATATGACGTCATCTTCCATGTATATTCTGTGATTGTACCCTGTGGCGAAGACAACACAATCCACGTCCTCCAGGTAAGAATCATCATCAAAGATGACCCTTGAACCTTCAAACCGTTGAAGACCACTCCGGACGACCACTCGGCCGCTCATAATCTTCACCGGGAGTTCATCATTCATCATGAAGCTACTTTTAACCGGATGCGTGCTGCTCTGAATGCCAAGTGTTTTCCAGTCCTGCAGGGACTCCATTTTGAGTTTGAGTAAAGGATGGTAGATCCAGGCTGGAATCGCCTCATTCCACCTTCGGTTGATGTAGACGTCAGTGGGCTGCTTCCCCGTGATGCGAGACACGATCCAAGCCCCATCCCGTAGACTCAAATACACCTAGAATAATACATTAGAACATGAAATACATTAGAATCATGAAGAACAAAAAAATAACTGCTTTGTACATTGTATACACTTTAATTAATGAAGATAATGATGTGTGAGTGAAGGGGATTTCATATCGTGTGAATTTTGAAAAGAGAAGTGCCACATACATGTAGCTTTAAATCCTTAGATTCCGTCATAATATCTCACACCGTCATTCGAACCATTTTAGATTGTATATTGTATGGGTTTATTAGGAAATCGCCTGGAGATAAAAAGGTCGAGTGTTCGAGCCTCGGTGCGGCAATAGTGTCTATTGGCAAGGCATTAAAGCAATTTTGACACTGGGTACCAAGAGGAAAACGAAGGAATTCCTCCAATGCTGTGAGTACCACGAAATCAGTAGCTTCGGGGTAATATCGGTGAGCCTTGAGTTACTTGCGTTATTGATGTGAGGGCTATAAAATCTATCAAAAATTAACTCTTTCCCAATTGATAAAATGGTAATAATATCTTACTGCGTAACATAGCATTTCACATGAAATAGTTTTTTCCAAAGGATTCGAGATTATTTAAGTGTTTCCAGTGAAAAGTTAATCTATACAGGTGGGTTTCATGCAGCTGTCCAAGACCGGAAATGCAAACATCTGACAATAATTGATTGCTATCTTTTGTTCAAATCAGCACGCGTGGCATACGAGCGACTTTGTCCTTTGCACATGAATGTGTCAAATGAAAGGTTGAATTAATTTTGGCGGTTGAGACCAATACTACTGGTGGTAAAATCCTGTTGTCTGGTAAAGTACAATTCGAAAATGAAATGGCATGAATATGTTCCTGGTTTTCAATCTTAATCGCATGATAATACATAAAAGACAATTTTACAATGAACTTTGAACCTATATAACTCCATAAATGGATGATGAAGTCCATCATATCAATACCTTCTTAGCGTGATTACTACTCAGTACCGCAACATCCCCTGCAGAATGGGAAGAGCCTGTATTATAACGACACAACAAAACAACATTAGCATGACAAAATTCAAGACAAGTCAACGTATTGCTGCATAAAATCCTGTTTATCCAGACTCTAGGGGATAGGAAGGTTCCACAATGATTTATCTTATGTTTTAAAACAGAAATCATATTCGTTTGCTTGGATCTCCCGCATGATATCCAGCCTTGCCCTCTTAATAACTTCTAGGTCCCCCTTATAACAATGGCTGTACCTTAGAAATTTCAACCACCGGTAGGAATACATTTATCAATGTTCATTATTATTGACAAAGAGGAGCGGATTGGCGCAAAAATTGCCACTGTGGGATCGCAAAGGGACTGGTCCTCCCAAGCAATAATTTAAAGTCAGAGTGTTCGATTTCCTGCTATGGCACTGACGTCCTTTAGGAAGAAGTCACCGAAGAGAAATATAATCAAAACATCTTCCCGAAATTAAATCAAATCCATCGGAGTAGAAACTTTTTGATAAGTAAATACGGAAGCAACGTTTAGTATTTTCATTATTATAATTATTATTGATAGCATGATAATAAAAAAGTCATCATAATTATTATTGTTATCATTATCTTTCATTGATGTTGCTGTTACTTTTATTAAGATAATGATTATGAAGATTACTATCATCATCATTAATTTTCAATTTTTATCTTCATTATCGTCATTATTATTTGGCCTATCTTTAAAGATGAAGTTGAGATCTGGTCATGCAATTGCATTGTGAAAGAAACGATGTGGAACCGACCAGAAAAGGTTGATCATCTAGCATATAAGAATTTGTGTGTATTGCAAGGTTCTGGAATCATCAAAATGATAAGAAATGGGCCAATTCTTGGTAAAGTTACAAACACTTGCACAGAAAGATGTATATGGGACTACACGAACACGTGGCGTAAAAAGCCGGCCCCCGATTTGTACGATGTTACATGCATATTTAGAATATGAAGGCATTTAAAAAGCCATGCTTTTTAGGGAACATGTCTTAATTTGATGTTCTTCCACACTTGTATAATAAGAATGAGTAATTCTCACAAATTATTTTTCACCTCTTCCAGAACTCAACCTTCTCTTTAATACGTTTATACTTCATTTTCCATGAATTTATCATGATCATGAATGAAAATCCACGTACCAACGACCACAATCGTCTTATCCACAAATTCTTCCCCGCCTCTGAACTGACCGCTGTGCAGGATTTGACCTTTGAACTCATTTAACCCAGGATAGTCTGGAATTTTGCCGGATGAATATATTCCGGAACACATCATGACGGCATCGAAGGTCTTTGATAAAAGAGAAACATCTAGTTAGGTGGGTCACGAAGTAAGTTTTTAAAATTCTAATCATGTATGAAACGAAAATCGTTTGTGAAATATAGTTAAACTCAACAAACGAAGTGCGGCCTCTCTATAGAGAGGTTCTACAACACGCTTTTTTATCGTGGGAGACAAAATATATAGCCACTTTATACAGCTGGCGTTTATAGAAAGGTGGCCACTAAAGACAACTTTGACTGAATTTGTATTATCTAGAGGTTTCTAGAAGTTGAAAAATAACTATATTGGATATGAGTCCTGTGACCTTCATTATAATATTACGTAGCCTATACAGTTAAAAACAAAATTATTCATTCCCCTTGTAAATTTGATGTGTTTTTTTCGTTACTCAAGAATGAGAGGTGGACTGGTTGAATTAGAACCTTTGTTAAATACTGTTAGATGTTAGCTTTAATATATAAAATTCTAAAAAACACAAAAACAATTGGGACCAATTAATTTTTCACAAGCTTAAGCCCATCTGCACTAGTGAACAGGAGGGATTAGACCACCCTACAAGGTCACTGGGCAGGTGGCTATCCCATCAACTCAGCACGAAAAAGAGGATCATGGGGGACCAATGGTCACCAATTATGCATTGTTTGTTATTTAGAGGGTGCAAGTAGCTATAAGTAGAGAGTAGGGATTTAAATAATTACAAAACCTGGTAAGGGTATGAATAATTTAGTTGTGAACTGTATGTGTTGCCATAGTAGCCTTTGTTTGTAACATATCGTATCAAGATGACTGCATTTACATAATGATGATTATAATGCGACAGGAAATGAGAAAATACTGGTTGGGTTGCCTAATTGATTTAAAATAAAAATCCCCAATGCTCTAGCGCCTTCCATTCCGGAAGTGGATATGAGGAAACGCTGGAATAGTTTAAATTTAGATCTAGTTAATGCACTCAGTGTCTACAGAAACGAAAGCGGTCTGGACAAGTATTTGGAACTGAATATAATCATAGAGGCTTAAAGGGATTGGGTATTTTTGTCTCAGATTTTAAACGAAATCCTGGATTTAGCACATGCTGCAATCATAATTATAAACCTTTAGGTCAGTCAGGAATCCCATGACGTTTACAAGCCGATTGACCGTAATTATCAAGATATTTATGATTTGGAATTCGAAATTTCAAAAAGCATTTTCCCTACGTTTTTGTATAACACTACAGTCTATTAGGGAAAATGAGCATGGTAAAACTGGTTACTCAAAGATTTTAAATCTTTTGAGGCACTTCATGATCATTTTGAAGTGCAACTTTTTAGGATTTCAATATTACACCATATCAAAGACGCTGATGACACGTAGGGCCATGCATCTCAGATTTGGCATTGTTAAACAATGCCTTTAAGCCTGCGTTCCCATAAGTATCACTAAGTAAGTGAGTGGTAAGTATAATTATAGAAGCTCACTTCTGTCTTGGGTGGTTCGCCTTGGGCCTGGGTGCACACATTCCATTTTCCTGTCTCTTTAAAATCCACTGCTTTTGTCACTTCTATGACCGTCGTATTGAAGTGGATATGCTTCAACAGATTGAAGTTCTCTGCGTAGTTTTGTAAATATTGCAGGACATCGTCACTCTGTGATGGAATATAGGAAAAATGTGAATAAAACATTGCGCAATATTTCGACCAGCAATAACTTTGATAGTTTTCCATAAATTACGGCAGACAAATGTGATGTTTTTAATATTACCTTATTTGTAGAAATACAAATGCAAAGGAAATACAAAACAAGTGCATATTACTTTTTTTAAAGAATAAAATGCAGCCCTAAATGAAACCCCATGCGCAGGCTATGTTGTTTGGAGCCGGTAACCTGGACGACGAGCGAATATGACATAATCACTTTGGTACTCTATATACTCTATATCAGCATGATCACCACTCGGCCTACACCCATACAGTACCCAAATGATTTTACAAATACAGGAAATTAAAAGACCTAGGCTATTATACCTAAAATTCTGTACTCGTGTTTTCTCTTGAATATGAATCACGAAAAATAGAAGTGGTTACTCCTAAAATCTACCTTTAGTCTTCAGTATTGTATTATCTAATTTTACTACTTCTATATATTTGTATCTGTCTCATTAATTGTAGAAAACAAAAAAGAAAGAAAATAATCACAACTCAGTTTTTCTATCTGCGGAGATATTTTATATGAATAAACCAGTTCAAATTAAATCAAATAATAAAATAAACCTCTAAACAACCGTATACAATTAAAATGCCAACTTTTACAAAGTAAGATTTTTTTTACCACGCATCACACATTCTCATTAAATATATTACTCTTACCGTTAGAAATGGTGGGACATGTCTTGGGTATGAGAAGTCACTGAAAGACATCATCTCCTTCGATACGTTGGTAATGAGTCCTTTATAGATACCGGCAGGTCCCGTCGGATCGGGTCCTACTTCGTCATTGTACACCCATAGTCCACCTATTGTACCCAAAGAGAGAGAGAGAGAGAGAGAGACAGAGACAGAGAGAGACAGAGAGAGAGAGAGAGAGAGAGAGAGAGAGGGGAGGGGCACACACAGCCAGAGAAACGTGTATATTATATTCTCAATATCATCATTTGGGAATGGATCAGAGTATGTTGAAATGTCGGTCAATTCGTCATCATTATGATCCGCCGACTTCGTTTATTGTTAATAATATACCGCCCTCGAATTGAATCTGGCCTGTCTACGTAATCTAAGTCAGGGACCCAGGGTCGATTTTCGGTGGATATATTTTTCAACAAACTTTATAAAATCATCACGGAGGGCAGAAATAATAAAGAACCACGCACCATTATTCTGTATTTTAAATTTTCACTGTAAACATAAAGGCATATAGACCAAAACGTTGGTCTATATTATTATATTCGATACTTTAATTTTAACTAAACCTACATGTCCCCTGTGCTCGAAAATAAACAGTGATTTGACCCTGACCTACACACGAAGTGCACGTAAGTCACAAATCCCTCATTTGTATTGGTTATCTAGATGGCACTTCAAATAAGGATTCTCTTGGAGCACATGGGTCGTCTTAATTTCACCCCTCCCTCGCCCTTCCACCTTCGCCCTTCGCTCTCGACTGTGAGAGCTGGATATAATGCGTTTTGTGTATGATACGCTCTTTAGATGGTTGGTCTTTAGTCTTATTTTTGAAATGTTATACTGTACTATGCTTTTAAACTATTTAAAACTATTTTATGCGTGTCTAACTACAGCTTACAGACATAGGACGTAAATACAATCAAAACCATTATGCAAGTTAAATACCTGACATAAGCCTACGAAGTGTTTAGTCCTTTTCAAATAAAAGGGTTATAGCCCTTCATCGAGACATCTTTTCTTCGTATCAGGACGATCACCATCTCGAGGACAACCGCCCCCTGGAAAATTACCCCCTAGGACAATTACCCCCCCCCCCCCAAGGACAATAACGCCCCAAGACAATTGCCAAAAGACAAGATATCATGTGCGACTCCCCCCACACGCACTCCAAACACACACACGCACCAACACGGGGGTTAATAATAGATGGTAATTTTTGGATGGTAATTGATATATGGGGTAATTTTCCGGGGGGGGGGGGGGGGGTTGGTTGTCCTGCTGGTAATTGGATGGAGGGGGGGGGGGGGGGGTGATTGTCCCTGTTCGTTTCGGATGCTTAATACAAGCGTACGTACAAGACCTTTTCCAGTAGAGACGAAGACAAGTATGAAGTCAAAGCGTTAATTTGCTCATTGATAATTAGGTTCACATCGATCCACAATCTAGCTACGTGTATATTGAATTCGACAAGCATTCATGCACAGTCCAAAAATAAATTAAACTTTACCTAGTTCTCTTGCCTTTTCGAAGCATACTGGCTGTAGCCTTCCTCGAGACAGGTTTTGATCGCAGCAAGACCGGAGACCCCAGCTCCTAGCACAGCTACCCTCGTTATGTCCATGGTTTCTGCGGCGTCTGTAACATTCACTTTCACCTTGAAACACGTAACAATGATACCAGTACTCTTCTTATTCTCGCTGTGCTAATTTCCTCATGATTCTTTTCCTGTCGTTATTCTCGCAGTGTACGTATAGTACTATAAATTATATGCCTGTATTCTCGCAATATATAACGTACGTACCAGTGTGATTGTATACGTGTATTCCTGCAGTATAAGTACTGATGATCATATTACTTGATTGGTTCACGTCATAACCTTGGCAGCCTTTAGGATCACAAGATTAAAAGGCTAAGTGCCATTGGAACAAACGTTTCAAAGTGAAACTGAAAGTTTTGTCACGTAGTCGACGTATAGGGTACCTAATCTACGTTGTACAAATCGTTCAGATACGACTTGAACTTTGTGTATTCGGTTGTTGTGAGCTCGATATAGGCCCTATGCGGTCCACCGAGGTTGCATATTGTTCAGAATTACTGGTGCTTGCCATGAATTTTTGCTCGATTTCTATACACCTTTTTTGGACAAAATATAGAGATTTTGAGGTCCCTTAAAAAACTCTCTGGAACAGATTGCAAATGCGTTTAGGAGCTACATGCATTTGTAGCCAGTTGGGAGCTACCTCGGGTCGCACGGACAACGTTGCTAGCAGCTAGCGCTCAATCCCGCTTCCTCGCAGAAGTCATTTTCGCCCTCTATAAACAAAATTCAACAAAATAGGTTGAGCTCATATGGATCCAAAGAAGAAGAAGGGAGTTTGAAAGTCATGTCGGGCATTTATGGATTAGAGTCTTGCCAGAAGTCGTTAGTGCAGGACTGAGATTGGAACCTTCAACCCTAGGATTGAGAATCAAGGGAATGAACTACTACTATACACCACAACACCGCAACTGTTTTGCATAAATATGAATATGAAAATTCAGTAGTCAACGGGTAAAAGAAATACGGATAGTTTCAGACAAGAAAGATTATTTTAACCCTAAAAAGGCCGGGCTATTTGAGGTCTTAGTACGGCGAAGCGGCCGATCGCCGTGAAAATTTGCACGCATGTCAAGTGAAGTGTATAGAATATTATGATTATTTCATTTTTTTGAAAAATTCACTCATTTGCATATTTATGGTAATTTATGCAAATAAAGTCATACAAATCACAATTTTACCCATAAATCATATATTATTCATAAATTTAAGCATTCGTTTTCACTACATATATTCATTTGACCATTCTAAATAATAATACGACAAAAAATTGGAAGAGCCAGCTTATTTCTTATGTTATCCCTTATTTTTATAATTTCTTATGTATTTCATTGTTTTTTAACTTATTTATTCATTGTGTTTTGTTGTTTTATTTCATTTCTTACTACAATTCAACTATTTTGACTCCCAAAACAACCACCTAAACTTTAAACAAGACCCCATAACCCATGTTTGATCTGTTTTTAGGAAAAATGACTTTCCCATATGTTTTGTACACAAATCATGAAAATGAGCGATTTTCGGGCTGACATGCAAAGACAAAAGGTCACGTGACCTTGTAACCGTACGTCCGATTTTCAAAAAAATTCTTTTAAAAGTTGCGCAAGACTTTAAAGAAAAAAGTCAGCGAGCGGCGAGGCGCCATCCATATGCGTTCCCGAGCAATCAGAAAAATCGTGGAGGGGGGGGGGGGCATGATGCCCCCGGCCTTATTAGGGTTAACATGGAACAATGTATTTGCCTCTTGTATTTAAAAAAAAAAATTTGTTGTTGTTTTTGGTTTATGGTGTTTTTAAAAATGCATTTCGTATTTCTCTTGATGTAAACGCACTACCTCTTCGAATAAGTTAATAAATCTTTACTTGTTCCAATTGGTCATCTAGATGTTCCAAACACTTTAGCTGAGATTTTTCGTCCCAGCTAAATGTAATTTATCCTCTCGCAAAAATGATGTTTAATAGTCACGAGCTTCTGAATTTCACGAATATATAGGCTTTTACGTAATACGTCACTGAAATATTTGCTTATTTCAATAAGCAACACACAGGCCCGCCCCCCCCCCACTCAGGGGTCGGAATGACCGCATGCGTGTTGCCAAAATGTCCGGTAAAGGGGTACTTTTCGTGTGACAAAGTCCGGCCCCAGAATTGTAAAAAAAGGGGTGTATTTGACTTTTCACCGGAGATTTCTTTAAAAAGGGGGTTTTTTTTCGTTTTTTCTCTCATCTCTTCTGCACTCCTGATAAATTATTTCGAATTTAAGGGGGGTATATTGAGCATTTTTCCTGATTCAGGGTCTCCAAGGCAGGAAAAGCCCGCGAAAAGCCCGCGAAAGGGGGGTTCGGAAATGTTGGCAGTCCTCAGATAGGGGGGTGCTTTCAAAAAGAGGGAACGAGCATATGCGTACCCTAAATAACACTGAGGGGGGGGGGGGGGGGCGGGCACACAGGAGCACTAAGGATCTGGAATCATCTGACACGCTAAACAGTCAATACAACAGGAATAACCAACTTCAAGGAGGCTGCTTTACTCCCATCAGAATGATGCAGCCCCTGTTGGTTCCCACATCATATAAGCTTACTAGCTTGGTTTTTACTTGCACTGGCATATTTTACTGTAAATTAATGAGTGCTTTGTCCACACACCATTCCTGCAATTCATGACACTCCTTGTAGTTACTCGCCTCACCTACCATCCCAGTATAGCTTCCTGAGTGAGCTGCCAAAGGGATTACCCAACCAAAGACCAAGTACAGGCAAAAGTGGAACTGTGAATAATCTTACATTAGACATTACTTTAATGTATTATAATCATCAAGTTGATGAACACGTAAATTATAAAGTTGATTTTTGTGTCGGGAAAGTTTATCTAAAAGACACATAACCTCTCTCTTCTATTTTCTTACCATTGATTATAAGCTGTCATT